ATACCAATCCGCTAATATTCGGTCTGGGGGTTTTATCTTTAGGATGCACTAGCCTCTGTTTAAGGGTTTGGTTTGGCTTGAAATGTACTGGGATCTTGTGTTTGGAGAAAATCCTCTTGAGCTTTTCAGACACTCCAGCAACATAAGGGATTGTAATGTTTTTGAGTTTAATTTTCCCTTATTTGGATGTAAATAAAGTTGTCTTTTCATACAATTTTCATACAATTTCATACAATGAATGAAAGATTAAAATAGAAAACTGTCCCAATGAGGACAGAAAACGGATATATTGGAAAATAGTCATCCTCTTTTTTTCTCACAAAAAACTAAATAATGGAGGGCAGACAGGTAAGCAAAGTTCAGCATTCTTCAATCTATGAAGAAGAGAAAAGAAAGAAAAACTTGGATAAACTTCCCAGATCTTTCTCTGAGAATCACCTCTCTGCCTCAGTCACCATAGAAACCGTCCCACGCCGTTTATTGCTGCGTTTTTCTTTTCTTTAGACGTAGATCTCATGATGTTTTTTAATATACGAACATTCTCTATCTGTTCAGAGGTACGGAAGTGAAATAAAATCTGTCAGATCTGCCCATCCTGGCCAGGGGGAGCCCCTCTATACGCAGTCACTGTGACATGAAAAAAAATCTGATTGGAGATTAAAAAATCACGCAGCCGGTGTGTTCAGGCCTCTATGGCCCCATTCACACGGAGGCGTGATAAAGGTCATTAGTTGCGTTAGAACCACATCTTTCATCAGACACATGGGGTTCATGCTAAGGTCCGTCCCGCACCACATGGCCCCGCTAACAGACACAGCAGCCATGTTAAACAGGCCTAACTGGTCGCTGTTGTCATGGGAACTTCACAGTCTGTTATTGTGCATGTTTCTGTCACAGTGTCACAGCGCCACCAACGGGTTCAGTACATCCACCATAGCATCTCCTGTGTCGATGCATCGTCTCATGCGAAGCTTCGTTTGCTTTTACCATTTAGAAAGGTTTGCCTTGTTTGTCTTATGTTGTTGCAGCCAAACAAAGTTGGAGCAAAAGGACTTTCCTTTATCGTGTCAGGTTTCTGTTTCTGTTATGTTTTTCTTTTCAGTATTCAGTCTTGCTTTACTCCTTGTTTTCTAGTGTTAGTAGTTTTAGTTTTATTTTGCTGTGTTCTTTGGTTTTTTTCCAGTTACTGTCCTAGTCTGGGTTCTGTTATGTTTTCTTTTGAGTGTTTATAGTTTTCTTTTCTCTATGTTTTATAGTCCTAGTAATTTAACATTGTGGTATTTCCAGTCTTCCAGGTTTCTATTTTGTTGCTCTCTGCTGCCCGCTTATGTTCTCCTTCTTCCCTAGCTCTTTCCCTCTTGTTCTGTGCACACCTGCTCCCAGTTTCCTCATTAGCCCCCTCTTTGTCTCTGTCTCCTTTAAAAGCCCTCTCTCTTCAGTTCCCCTTGCTGGGTCCTCTTCAAACACTGCCAAACTTTGTCAAACTTCCTCCAACAACGTCTTGGACATCTCAAGACTGTCCAAATCCTGACATATCGGGCTCAGACAACATCCTTAACAACATCTCAGTTCTTTAAGTGAGAAAACTCAGCTGGACACATTGAAGAATCTTGATCTGTGCTGCCCTTAACTTACCAGCATGGAAAAGCTATCGGTAGGACAAAAATCAAGTTAAACTTAAATGATTCTCTTTCATTCCCGCCAGCCTGGGAGAAAAGGTATTCCAATGCTTTCCAAAAAATCCCAGTACAGAACAAAACTCTTTCTCATCTCATAATTTTTCACCAAAAATACACCGCACCCAGCCTGGTTATATTTATACCATACTCTAACTGGATGGGTGTGCATATTTATGTCTGCACAGCCCAGTGCGCCGGCTAATGGCCTGTAAGGTGATTGGTTAAGCCCAGCGGGCCCGGTACCGGATCCAACTGTTATTCTTCTTTTCTATTCAGTTTGATTATATTATTGGTAAATTTCAATGAAATGACTTATCTTAGTATCAAAGACTTTGCCTCATGCAGGTCTCCAATAATGGAAATCAGAATACCATAAATCCTCTAATATAGGCCAGGGCCTTTATTTCACTGAGGTACATCTTGGTCCAGGCCATTATTGGAAGGAGGCCAGAATTAGAGGCAGGCCTCTATTTCTATTTGATCAAAACAGACTACCAGTGGAATGAATAACAATGAGATTTTGTGTCTCTTTGAACCTATAAAATACTAGGTTCATTTATTGAAAAAGTACAGTTACCATAACGATATACAGAACATTATTCAGACATCTTCCAGCAGCTGCAATGTTTCTGCAGAATGGAATCTTGGCCAAACTTACTTGCGAAACAAAGTAAAAAAAAAAAATATATGGAAACTGTTCTGCCATCACAGCGACATTATATTTGAGGCAGGCTAAGTGGAAGTAGGCTACCAGTATCGTATATTTCAAGGGAAATTCAGAACAACGAAGGCAAACGAAATTCTGTAATTTTACGCTGCCTGGTTACCACCAGACCTACCGGTGATCATGTGTCTTTCAGATCAGAACGATTGTGTAAGGCCACTACGATCTCTGTGTAAGGACGGGACTTCCCATGCTAACCTGCTTCGATTCGTTAGCAAACACTGCCCCCCTGTGGTACTTGTATGTTACTATCACAGGTTGTTGAGGACTGCCCAGGAACATTGTTGGTTCTAATTTTAGCCCCTGCCTGTATACGAGTCCGGCCATAATTTACATCTGCCGACAGTGAGACCGGCCATTATTAGAGACCCGGCTGCTAATGGAATACAGGCCAATATTAGAGGATTTACGGTATTTGTTTGACCAGATTTCCTTTTATGAGTGGGAAAAAAAATCCGATTTCTCCCTAGCTCCCTGCCCACTAAAACCTTTGTGGAACAAACATGCTTCAACTTATTCAGTTCAAGTTAGATTGATTTATAGTCAAGATGTTGATCTATAAAGTCTGAGGGTTCATCCAGAGTTTCAAATAAGCTTTCACAGTGTTTTGCAGTTTTTATTTTAGAAAAAAAATTTGCGAGCTCATTTCTTTTTTTTCTTTTTTTCTTTGTTTAATCACCTATAAATCAAACACGTTGACATTTATAATATTGGTTCCACCTTAAAATATTCCTCAACAAATACAAACAATTTAATTTCCAATTTATAGCTGAACTTGCTTTAATTCACATATTTAATTTCAGGCGGAATTTGCTCCTAAGACCCTCTGAGCTTAACTTTTTAACCTATAAAAAGTAAGACCAGACAGACACAGTGTAAGGTTCACAAGATTTTGCAAAAGTGGAGAGAAATTTGTGCACCGAAGTCTCTTAGCTCTACTCCAACTGTACGTCCCCTTGCAGGCCTCTCCATAAGGGTCTCTTAGTCTAACCATGCCACTGAAATGACTGTGTCCTTTTTCCGTCCCTTTATTCATCCTTAGCTGAAGTAATAAAGCCATTTTATTTAGTTTTACTCTAGAATAAGAATCAATATAATGTCTGTTGTTTTGAAGGTAGATACCCTGGTGCTTAATGATTTAAGTGTTAAATTGTTTTTAATTAAGTCGGGTACGGAGAGCGGTGGGCTAAAAGCGAAAACAGTCCGATCTGAAGCTGTGTTCCTCTCAAGTCCAGGCAGTATTATTCAAAAACATGACTTTTCATCATCCTTCAGCGTCAGACTGATAATGCGTCGCCCTCGGTTTGAAACTGCTCCCTTCGTATCTGTTTGGGAAACAGATGGACATTCAGCAGAAGGGGTGAACAAAGTCTGGCTTTAGTCAATCAGGGGGGTGAAAGAAAGAACAGCCTCCAGTTTGCACTCTTGCTGATTCTCCTCCAAAGATGAAATGGTGGATTCTGAACAACAGGTGTGAAAGCAGCAGCTAGTCCTGCGTCAGCCTGCACTGCCACGGTTAACCTGCTTGGCCTGCAGGCTCGGCAGCAACGCCAAAATAATATGAAAGTTCAGTTTACAGACGATCTGGTGTAATTATTTCATTATTATACTGATTCATTCATTTTGCTGCGACTAAATTGTTTCTTCTGCATGAGAACCAAATAAAACAGAGATCATTTTTTTTTAATTAAAGGGAACATCAGTTTTCTGTTACATTTGACCTTAACATGACCTTTCCTGTCTTCACAGATTCAGGCTGCTGTTTTGGTTTCAGCTTATCCCAGAGAGCATCTGGTGCGACAAAAAAGACAGTGGGTGGTCCCTCCTATACACCTGAACGAGAATGAGGACCACACCCACAAGTTGTCTATTGCCAAGGTGAGCGACTTCACTGGCAAATAAATCCTGGATTTGGTGGAAGATTTATTTTTTCTTGTTAAATAAATTTCTAACAGTGAAGACAGTTCGAACAGCTCCTTCACCTGGTGGAGCATTGCAGCATGGCTTCAGATGGTTTCCTTCACTAAATCAGAGTCCCCTTCTGTTTCAGATCCGATTGGACTTTGCAGGGTCGGAAAAAATTACTTATTCCTTAGAGGGCATCGGAGCAAATCAGTACCCTTTTCATGTGTTTGTGGTTGACCCTCGTACTGGAGACGTCCGCGTGACCAAAATCCTTGACAGGGAGGACATCGCCCTATACAAGGTAAGTTCCTGGCTGCTACGGCAAACTCAAAAGGAGAAATGGTAGCTGGCCTGTTCTAATACAGTCCAAAGCACTTTACTCTGACATCCCCACACTGAGAGAGGTGAGCTATGCCGCAGCCTTAGCTGCTCTGGGATAACGAGAAAGTCAGGCTGTTGTACAGATTTCAGGCCTGTCTCTTCTTCAAGGACAGAATGACAGAGACAGACGGAGCAGGGACTCCAACCAGCAACCCCTGCCTCCACAAGAAAAGGGGTCTAGAATTAATCAGGCTTTACACACATGAACTACACTAATATTTGTGGGGGAGTGGTGGACTAGCGGTTAGGGCATAGAGCTGGGAATCCTGAGGTTCTAAATTCGAGCCCCACTCCCACAGACTGCCACTCTGGGTCCCTGAGCAAGACCCTTAACCCCACACTGCTACATTCATTTGGAAAAATTATTTTGCTCGTATCATTTCTGTTCTGTAAACATGATAAAAATATTATTCAGATTTATCCTTTTCAGCTTTCAGGTCTTGCTCATTTTCAAGATGGAAGTGAAGCAGAGGAACGTATTGACCTGCGAATTAAGGTCGTGGATGTAAATGACAATCCTCCAGTATTTCCTTCAACGATGGAAGCTAAAGTGTATGAACTCAGCCCTCTAGGTCAGTGGTGCAAATATATAAAAGAGTAAAGATGCTGGTATCTCTGAGGACTAAAAAATGTCTCTGTTTGAAGTGATCCAGATTTGAATGGCATCTTGAAATCCATTACAGATGGATTTATTGTCACATTTTACACTAAACTTTTAGCTGAATTTTTTTTTCCACTGTGGTTTGATTGGCAGGAACTTCAGTTATACAAATCACTGCCACTGATAGAGATGATCCTGAAACAGCCAACGCTAAGATCGCCTACTCCATCATAGACCAGAAACCCCGCGAAGACTTTGGCATTAGCAAGGACGGCATGATCTATGTCAGCAATCCTAACTTGGACAGAGAAGTATGATTTTTTTAATAAACATAATTGAGGTTTTATCAAACAAACTGTATTTTTACAAAAGACATTAAAATGCTAGTTGGTTCCAAGAAAATCTGCCTTTGTAGAGGAAAACATTCGGAAGTAGCTGCTGAAGGACTCAGGATAGTTATAGTTCAGTACACTTTTTTTACAAAGTAAAATTGACATTGCCCCAAAGGTATATCTAGTTGTGGCAATGAGCTGATGGTATGGTCATGCTACCGGTATGGTCATGCTACTGGTATGGGGCGTGTTATTGGTATGGGTCGTGCTACCGGTATGGGTCGTGCTACCGGTATGGGTCGTGCTACCGGTATGGGTCAGGCTGTGTGTCTGAACGAGCTGGAATACCAGTCGGTCATCATGGACTTTGTGGACTGGTGTGAGAGAAACCATCTGTCTCTGAACACCAGTAAGACCAAGGAGATGGTGATCGACTTCAGGAGAAGACCACCACCCCACCCCCCCGTGAACATCGAGGGACAGGACATAGAAACTGTGGAGAGTTTCAAATACCTGGGTGTTTACGTCAATGATAAACTGGACTGGACTCATAACACTGACGCCCTGTATAAAAAGGGCCAGAGCCGCATCCACCTCCTGAGGAGGCTGAGGGCCTTTGGAGTAGGCAAGCCCCTCCTTAAAATCTTTTATGACTCTGTGGGGGCCTCAGCCCTCCTCTACACTGTTGTCTGCTGGGCCCCTGGCAGCTCAGAGCGGGACAGAAAGCTGGTGAGGAAGGCCACTTCTGTCCTGGGCTGCCCTCTGGACTCGGTGGAGGAAGTGGCTGAGAGGAGGATGCTGTCCAAACTCACATCCATCATGGACACCACCTCTCACCCCCTGCACCAGACTGTAGAGGAGCTGAGCAGCTCCTTTAGTCAGAGACTTAGACACCCTGTCTGTAAGAAGGAGCGCTACCGCAGGTCCTTCATTCCTGCTGCCACCAGACTCTATTATAATGCACTATAACCACAATAACTCCTGTAAAAACCACTGTGCGGCTATATTAGAGTTTTTTTATTTATTGACTGCAATATTCTGTGCAATATGCTGAATGTGCAATATATGTGAATAGAATAGTCATACCACTACCTCACCGTTG